AAAAATGGGGATTTTGGGGTAAAAAATTGGAATTTTTGGGGTGAAAAGGGGACTGGGATGGACTAGGATTGAACTGGGATAAACTGGGATGGACTGGGATGAACTGGGATGAACTGGGATGGACTGGGATGAACTGGGAGGGACTGGGAGGGACTGGGGGGAAAAAAACCGACAGTTTTTGGGTGAAAAATGGGGATTTTGGGAAAAAAATGGGGATTTTAGTGGTGAAAAGGGGATTGGGATGGACTGGGATGAACTGGGATTAAACTGGGAATGGACTGGGAGGGACTGGGAGGAAAAAACCCGGCGGTTTTAGGGTGAAAAATGGGGATTTTGGGGTGAAAAATGGGGATTTTGGGGGTTAAAAGGGGACTGGGAATGGACTGGGATGAACTGGGATTAAAATGGGATAAACTGGGATGGACTGGGAGGGACTGGGATAAACTGGGATTAAATTGGGATAAACTGGGATGAACTGGGAGGGACTGGGAGGAAAAAACCCGGCGGTTTTAGGGTGAAAAATGGGGATTTTGGGGAAAAAATGGGGATTTTGGGGTAAAAAATGGGGATTTGGGGGTGAAAAGGGGACTGGGAATGAACTGGGATTGAACTGGGATAAACTGGGATGAACTGGGAGGAACTGGGATCAACTGGGAGGGACTGGGAGGAAAAAACCCGGCGGTTTTAGGGTGAAAAATGGGGATTTTGGGAAAAAAAATTGGAATTTTTGGGGTGAAAAGGGGACTGGGAATGAACTGGGATTGAACTGGGAATGGACTGGGATAAACTGGGATAAACTGGGAGGGACTGGGAGGAAAAAACCCGGCGGTTTTAGGGTGAAAAATGGGGATTTGGGAAAAAAAATGGGGATTTTGGGGGTTAAAAGGGGACTGGAATGGACTGGGAGGGACTGGGATAAACTGGGATGAACTTGTACTGGTTTATACTGGTTTGAACTGGTTTAAAGTGGTTTAAATTGGTTTATACTGGTTTGTATTGGTTTATACTGGTTCAAGCTGGTTTAAACTGGTTCATACTGGTTTATATTGGTTCATACTGGTTTAAACTGGTTTACATCGGTTTATAGTCATCCAGACTGGTCAAAACTGGTTTAAACTGGTCCATACTGGTCCAAACTGGTTTAAACCGGTCGAAACTGGTTTAAACTGATCCATACTGGTTTAAACCGGTCCAAACGGGTCCATACTGGTTTAAACTGGTCCATACTGGTCCATATTGGTCCAAACTGGTTTAAACTGGTCCAAACGGGTCCATACTGGTTTAAACTGGTCCATACTGGTCCATACTGGTTTAAACCGGTCCATACTGGTTCAAACTGGTTTAAACCGGTCCAAACGGGTCCAAACTGGTTTAAACTGGTCCATACTGGTCCATACTGATCCAAACCGGTTTAAACCGGTCCATACTGGTCCAAACTGGTTTAAACCGGTCCATACTGGTCCAAACTGGTTTAAACCGATCCATACTGGTCCAAACTGGTTTAAACCGGTCCAAACGGGTCCATACTGGTTTAAACCGGTCCAAACGGGTCCATACTGGTTTAAACCGGTCCAAACTGGTCCATACTGGTTTAAACCGGTCCAAACTGGTCCATACTGGTTTAAACCGGTCCATACTGGTCCATACTGGTTTAAACCAGTCCAAACGGGTCCGTACTGGTTTAAACTGGTCCATACTGGTCCAAACTGGTTTAAACTGGTCCAAACGGGTCCATACTGGTTTAAACTGGTCCATACTGGTCCATACTGGTTTAAACCGGTCCAAACGGGTCCATACTGGTTTAAACTGGTCCATACTGGTCCGTACTGGTTTAAACTGGTCCATACTGGTGCAGGACCCTGGCCCCGTACATGACGGACTCGGTGACCCACGTGGTGACAGCGCAGGACTGGGACCCCGCCTTCGAGGAGGTGTGGCCTGCGGTGGGCGTGGCCGGGTGGGCGTGGCCTTTCCCTAAGTCCCCGCCCCTTTAACGCCAAGCTCCGCCCCCTTTAGGCCCTGGAGCTCCGCCCCTCTCTGACCTTCGTGCGCCCCCATTGGCTGCTGCTCTGCGGGGAGCGCCAGCGCCCCCTGCCGGCCCAGCCCTTCGCTGTGGTGCCCCGCGAGTGACGTCATCGTGACGTCA